AGTGATGTGTGAATGAATACAGGGCATATTGGCAGCATCTAATAAAAACTTTGCTAAGGAGGGCAATGACCTGCAATTTATGCTGGTCACTTCTCGCACAGAGTCAACTGCTCAGACTTTAATTTGCTGTTATAGAGGCATAACTGTCCTCACAGATGTGCGGATGCCCTGCATGCTGCAGTGAAAACAGTCTGCATGCCTTGTCTCAGGGATGAAATAATATCAACGATCCAGGTATCTTCTAAAGAGAGATGCTGCTGTATTCGCTTTGTTGTGTTTTTCTCCTTCTTTGTGGCGACAAGAATTGGGTTTCCAAGCCTATGCAGAGTACAATAAATGGACAGTAACACAAGTAGAGGGTGTAAGTGGGAGGGGAAGGACAAAACAGGGACAGGGTGGGATGCTGCAGCTATACTCACTTCAAAGCCCGGTTGGGCTTGTCCGGAAGAATAGCTGTGAAATCATTATATGAGTCTGATTTGTGAGACAGGCAGCCCAGGCGAGTCCTCATCCCTCTGTTCCTGTGGTCGATGTGGGGGGAGCAGGGGTGTGAGCAGGGGAAAACCAAAGAAGATGATCATTACAAATCTAGCCAGAGTCACAAAAAAAGACCTCAGTGGCTCTGCAGCTCACCAAACCCAGGCCCTCTTCTGCGGCAGGGACCCTGAAACATCTCTGAGGCCAAACAGACACCTAGGGCAGATGCAGCCCCAGAGGAGCTAGAAGCTCCTCCAGACCAGTCGTTCAGCTGGTCCAACCAGCAACAAGACCAGAAAGGCTGCTCTTTGGGATGGTTTCTTGGAAAGCTCTGCGCTGGGGAGGGGTGTGAGAATGGCAAAGAGCCACAATACCAGAAATCAGTCACCGGGATCCAGGAGCACCAGAGCTGCACAAACACCAGTGCATGAGAAGAGGAAGGGGCTGGAGGAAGAGGAGAGCGAGCAAGGCACCTGCACACGAGAGCCTGAGCTGCAGAGCCCTGGGAGCCCAGCTGGGATCCTGGACGGGTTCTGTAGGCTCAGGGTTACATAAGCAGACCGGAATTGTCTCTTCCATGACAGGTTTATCCATGCAGAAACGGCTTCATTTCTCTTTCCTCTAAATTTTAAAACAGTCCCAGAGCTCCTGCTCCTCTGCAGGCCCCTCACGTCCTTGCCAGCCCCTTCCTGGGACAGACAACACATACACAGCATCACTCCTTACATAACGGTCAGGCTGGGAAGACTTGGGAAGAGAGGAAACACAAAAGAGGGAAATGCAACACACACATGCATTAGCCTGGGCTGGCATTGCCTCCTCTCAAAAGCATACAAATGCTGGCTAATGGCTTTAAATGGTGTCTAGAAGAAGGACATCGTCCTAGTTTGCCTCTCCAGCCTAAAGGCATCGTTTCTACTAAATCGGCCCCAATCCTGAGCAGGCCCAGGCTCCCCTGGTCATCAGAGGACAGTTTAATAACCCAGTCTGCACTTTTCAACTGCTGGACCCACTTGTGAGCAGGAGGAAGCCCTTCACTGATCCCTAGTGCCAAACAGACAGCAAGTACTTTTTGTGACTGCAGAGAAACACAGTTTTTTTTTCCTTTCCATATGCAATCCTTGCAGAACACTTCAGTGCTAATCATTGAGGCAATCTGTGGCACGCCTGTTTCCCCCCTTCTCCTCCCGCCCTTCGGATAGTTTCTATTATTGCACATTTTCATGTAATCTTAAAGCAAATTAAATGTTAATTAAATGCAGTGAGTGTCTCCCTGGTGCAGCGCTGAGAGCTCACAGCATTTAAAAGACACAAAACCTTGAAATCTTTAGTCACACAAAGTGTCGGACAGCCTCAAAACACAGCCCCGTGACCAGTGCTCTCCGGATGAAAAGCTACGTAAACTTCAAACACCGGTGCAGAACGCTGCATGCAGAGAGCTCTTCCCAGCGGGGTGTGCGAGCTCTGCTCCGCTCCAACCCTCGTGCTGCATGATCCTCCTGGTACCCTTCCTGATGTCCCCAGCCCTTATCCTCCCTGCACTGCTTGTTCACACAAATTTCTCAGCAAGAAAGCTCACAAATTTCTCAGCGAGAGGTGTGACATGCACTACCGCAATGCTGCTCGGATTTCTCTCTGATGCCCGAGATCAAGGGAGGGCAGCAGGGAACCGCAGGCTGTGGGAGACAGAGATGCTGCAGCATGAGAAAGGAGCTCATCTCTTGTGGAACACGGATCTCCAGGTCATGACTTCCAAGACAGGACACAGGAGAAGGACAGCAAAAGAAACCGGGTCTGCAGGGGGTGGAGAGGCAAGGAGAGGGTGGGAGGGAAGGGAGGACACTGCAGCAAGCTAAAAGACTCACTGGACAAGGTAGATGGCAACAGGATGGGCAGGGGTGAGGAATGCATCATGTCTTTGCAGTTACCTCCGCGGGATCAGTAAGGCAGCCATGGAGGCATCCAGTTATGGTTAACCCTTTAACTGGCTGGCTTGGACAGCAGTCCGGGCTGTTTGCAGAAGATAGGAGTGCAGGAAGGAGGGATTTATCGTTTCATGTCCTGGCACTTAAAAACACATCAAAGAATCCTCTGCAAAAAAGAAGGGCCCGTTGTTCTCAACCCATTTGATCCTCTCCTCCTAGAGTGGAAGGTCGGTTTTCCAACAGAAGACGTTCAGAGTTGAGGGATGATCATACAGGAGAGAGAGCATTTCCTTCTAAGACCAGGACCGGGAGTTAAGTCCAGCTGCAGGTCTAAAGTGATCTGACTGGGGCGTCACAGCTCACCAAAGAGCAGCGGGAGTTGACATTATCGTACTCATCATCCAACACCTCTGCAGGTCTCTCCTCAACAGGCAAAGCTCCGGACTGCCCTCGCTAAGAAGACCAAACTACCTCTCGTCCCTGTCCCTCCACGTCATGGCTGATGTTATTGGCCAGGCATCACGGAAAAGCTGGCACTGCAAATAAAATAACAGGAGGACTTCACGCATCTGCAGATGATGCTCCTTCCACCATCACAGCCTCAAACACACACACGCACACACACACAAAATAACTTAAATAAGGCATTTCCTCTTCTTCTGGGTGCTGGGAGCCTGTGGGGAGCCAGGGTGGAGATTTATGGTCTGGGAGTGTGGGGGAAAGGAAGAAGGGGTGTCAGCGTCCCCGTTGGCCTCGGCATGCGACCGGCTGGTTGAACTAATCTCACATCGGAGAAGGAAGGCAAAGGCCGCTGGCCAGGAGGCCGACGGGACAAAGAGCAGAACCGAGATGTTTGGATAGTATCCACAGCACAAACGCTTCCTACTTGTCAGCACAGAGGTAAGTTCCAGATAACCTCCACGTCCTCTTGCCCAGAGGGGACGCCAAAGAGGGGGCAAAGAAACCAGCGTGAGAAGAGTCCGTGTGCAGGGAAGCCAGGTCACCTTTGCGGTTCTCCTTGCACCTGGGAAGGTCCCAAGGCTTGGGCTGCCCAATACGGCATCCGTTTTAAAACCTGATTACATTAAAAACGCACAAAGCCTCTTCCCAACTAAATTAATGGGCCCGGGATTGCACTACATGCCAGTGAGTGCATTTCCCTAATCCTCACCCTGACCGGCTGCTTCGCTGTGCTTTAACTGAAATCAATCCTTGTAATTCCTTAAGCCCCCTTAAATTTCCTCATTAACAACCTCACCCACATGTGAGGCCACAGCACACTATCCCCTGGAGCCCGGCAGCCCCCAGCTCCACTTTCCCATTGCCATGCTGCCCGTGGGAAGCGGATCCGGGTGCCCGCTGGGCTCCCGCTCCCTCGTGGTCCCCTCTAGCAGCTGCTCTTTCAGGTACTGTTACAAGCCCCCTCGCTTCAGCTGCTCCCAACAGAATCCCACACGTTTGAGCGGTGCTCAACTTCCCCCGGTCCCAAAGTCTGTCCGACCGTGTGGGTGCAAAGACCCAGCCCCACTGCTGGGCTCACCTACCCACCGTGCCCCCTTCGGCTGCGAATACAGCCGGATCCTGACGGCTTCAGAAATAAAAGGTATAATAATAACAGTGTGAGAGAGGCATTTCAGCAAGGGTCTGCAGCTTTGCTTCATCCTGCCTCCCTTCTCCAAAGAAAGGGCCCCCTGTCAAGGAGAATTGCTGGTCTCATCATGGATGTGTTCAGGGATTTCTCCTTGGGAGAAGAAAAGGGAGGGGGATGTTTCGCTTATGACATTCAGATTCTCAGACCACCCCAAGAAATCACCTGAGCAAAGATAAAGAGGCCATCCCAAGAGAAAAAAGAAATAGCAGGATAAAACCCAGGAGACCTAAGAGGCTTCAAGAGATAAAGACCATCCACTCGCATGCAGTAAAGCACAACGACTGAACGCGGAGGCACTGCAGACGGACAGCCGCGCGCAGAGACAAGATACTCACTGCCTTTGACCTGTCCTCCCTCGCGGCGGGTCTTGGCCAGCAGCGCAGCCGGGGAGGCTCTGCGGGAGGGAGCAGAGGAGCCTCCGAAGGGGCGGCCCCCGCGCCGGGCGCCGCTGGCGCTCCAGGACACCTCCCGTCCCTGCGCTGCCGGAGAGCCCGCCCGAGCCGCGCGCTCAGCGCATCCCTGGGCACAACCTGCTCGCGGGTCCCCCCGGCTCCGCACAGGCTCCGGCTCCGCACGGGCAGCGGCTGCCGAGGGGGAAACGCCGGGGAAAGCGCTCGCTGCCGGCGCTCTCGGTATGCGGGAATAAAGCAGCAGCCTGCATCATTTAATCAGCTCCTCTGAGGTTTAAGGAAGGCTCCAGCCCTCAAATCACGGATCACTGAGAGTTGCCACAGGAAAAAAAGGGCTGGGGCGTTTCATTAAAGAGCCCCAGAGGCAGCAGGGCCGAACAAAACCATTAGCAGCCAAGGAAGGCACCCTATTGCAGCACACGGGATAAAAGAAAATTCTCCCTGGTGAATTAGTGACAGCAAGTGACCCCCTTTACCTGCCTCGCACCTGATGTGTGCAGCCCCGCTTGCTCCCTGCTCCCACCGGGTCCCTGCAGCCATCCCTAGTCTGCTCACCCGCAATACAGGTTCCCATCCCCTTTCCTCTCCAGCCCCAGACCTCTCTCCTGAACTGGCAGGAGACACAGGGGGGCTTCCACGTGCACCCCCATGCCAGGGCTGCATCCATCCACAAGGTGACACGAGGATTTTACTGGGCGCTAGAGAAGCACCAGGGACTTAGAGGGTGGCTATAGGATCTCCATCACCACTCCCAGGTGCCAGGACACACTATGGCCACAGCCCCCACCTGGCTGGGCACCAGATGTGACCTCTGTGTCCCAGCTACAGGGGATGGTTGATGACCCTTTGGCCACACTGACTCTCTGCAAAGCCTCCCGTTTCCTCCAAACTCCTGCTGTCTCTTAACTCTGATCTCTAGCAAAGGTTAAAGTGTCCTCTGCAGTTAAACAAGTCATTTCTTTATCAGTTCTTTGCCCTGCCTGTTTTCTGAAAGCCTGGAGTCAACCTGTTTCTCTTCCACTAAAGCAGTGCCAGGCCTGGTGCTATCCCTGTACCACTAATGGGCAGTGTACCTCGAGGGGGCACGGTATCATTTGGCAGCGTCCCTGCAGAAAGATGGCCCTACAAGAAATCAGAAAATACAAAAATTAGATGTGCTGGGGGAACGACCCCAGCTCTTCAGCCTGGCTCCTCTCCTGCCCTGCACAACCTAGCGAGGAAACTACCTGCCCTGTTCTCCTTCTCCCATCACAACATCCCGGCTTGGATTAATCGCGTCTCGAGTTGTCAGAAGACTGAAGAAATGCAAGGGCTGATACAAGCCCCTGGAAGCCAAGTCAAAGGGTGAGGTTCATCTGACGCCTCTGGTGCAACAGGCTAATTTGTTCAAGCTAAATAACAATCAACTTCAGCCCTTACCACAAGCCAAATTCAATATAATGATATTGAGGGCTTAGCTTCTAATACATCATTTTTTGTCTGACTGGACTTCGCTTTGGTCTGGAAGAAATCAAAATCTCTGACCAACTCTGGATGGGATAAATAATAATTAAAAAACAAACGTGTAAGCACTATATCTGCTTTTACCCCAGTTTTACCCATTGCTACCTCACTGTCATCACTAATTTGGGCAGAAACTCCAGTCCCTACTACTCCAATAATTAGTACACTCATTTCTTGGGGTGAAAAAAATGGTTCTGGAGCAGCCCACAGTGACTCTGAAAATTACTATCTCCTTCTTTTACTTTCCCAGGACAGGTTTCAACTAATTGGGAACAAAGCAAGCATGCTGTGTTGACACGGGCACTGGGAGAAATGTAATTAAATTGCAGATAAAGAGAATTATGTTTTAGAGGGTAATATTTTAGAAAGCTTCTGTGAGGTTGGAGAAGAGGTTTATAGAAAATTCCTTCTAAAAAGACCCTCATGTTTCTGACTACTCTATATCTCTGTTTAAAAGCATTTAATAAAATAACCCATTTTGATATTAGGTTTGGATCTCACCCAACATTTTAAATCTCTTCAAGAAATACTTAAAAGCAATTTCCTCATGACCTATGAATAGCAAACGCACAGGCAGTGAATATGCACAGCATTGGGATTGCTGGCTGTGACTGCACAGGCTGGAAGGGAATTTGCCAGCCTGGATATTTATTTTATCTCTATTATTTTCACTGCTTTCCTGCCTACTCCATTCATTCTGTACTGTCATTCAAGTGGTTTTTACCCAAAAAATTCTTCCAGACAAACCGCCATCACAGGTTTCAGTAGGTTGCAGTTACCGCTACTGAATTGCTGGATGAAAATTGAGGAAAGGTAGCTCTGGCTCCTTGCATCTCCATGGCTGGTATCTGACCCCCCTTCTTGAAGGCAACGGTAGCCCCACCTTAGCCAGCTTGCAGCTGGCACCTCAGAGAGTCTTCACTGACTAGTTCATTTCTTGGCTGACATCTCAGTGGTTACCTTAGGTCATCTCCATCACCTTGACATTCAAGTGGATTTCCCCCCATCTTCTCACTCGTGCTTTTGCTTCCTTGAGGGTCTGCTTGCCTCTGTGGAACTCCATTATTTTATGCTTAACCAGCCGCCATGCGAGTCCCTCCCGTCACTTCCACCCTTCATTTCTGACTTTGAGCTCTTGTCGTATTTACAGTGATCCCTGCCACAAGGGTTTAAACTTTCGTGGAGTCATGTTTGTGGTTGCTTCACGACCTTTGCTGGTTCTGTGCCAGCGTCCCTGTTGGTTGTGCTGCAAGAAACTCGTTTGAGGTTGTGCGTTGCGACTCACTAGGCCAAGCGTATTTTCCCCTCGCATCCAGAACGTGCTTCTCCAAAGGACTGCAATGTTTGGCAGCTACATCCCCATAGCAGACGTTGTGACCCACACACCATGAAGGCTGCCTTGAGCTCAACCAAAAGCCTCCACCTCAGGCCAGCTTCTGCTGAGACCCAGCAGAGCTTCTGGTTTGGTGCTGGAGGGCTGGCCTGAACTACTGCCCTCCATGTAACACAGAAACTGCGGGGAACCTCTCACAAAACCAAGCATCCTTTGGTCCTCCTCTGACACACTGTCATTCTGAATTCATCCAGCAGCTAGACTATATATATGGGGTACGAGACCAAGGTTACTCAAACTAGTGATCAATTTGTCACCAGGGCTTGCTTTTCTCCATTACTGCTTGAAAGAAAATTGTTAGAGATAAAAGTGCTGCTACTAGTGGACAGAAAACATCCAGTGCCCCAGGCGCCGTGTCAGGCTGCCTGCCCATCTGAGGGTCTGCTGTAAAATACACTTGGTCCAGCAGAAGGTGACAGTCTGGGTAAGAGGACGTTACAAGTAATGCTGACAGATTCCTAAACTGCAAAACAAATTACAGACCATCTTCCCATGAGACAGAGCCACGAGAACAGCTCCTGCTATTAAAAAGGAGCTCCAGTGTCACCCATAAACACCCACAAATGCATCACAAAACTTAAAAAAAAAAAAATGAGGCTTTTATTCACCTTGTAGCTCAAACTCTTTTCTTTCCCAGGTACACAGCAAATCCAGAGAGGTGAAACAAGGAGACCTGGTGTTTCTGGGTAGGTGAGGAAACCATGCAGCTGATGCACTGGATGGGAGGTATTGATAAAAGAAGCCTCATCTCATGTGTTAATGAGACAGGGCAGGAGCTAGGAGACACCCACTGAGTTGAATTCCCCTTGAAAATAAGAGACCATGTTCAAAAATAAAACCGAGTTACATAAAACGTGATCCACGATTCTGTCTCTGGTTTAGCTTAACAGAACGGCAGCTATTTAAATTCTGCCCCCTGTCAATGACAAAAGTGTCTCCTGGACATGTTTGCAGCTTTTGGGTGTTGTGATTGCTGCAGCAGAACAGATGCCTCCAACTGTTCAGATGCCTCCTGGCCCCAGCCTGGGTGATCCCAACTCTCTCCTCAAACCCTACGGGCAGGCAGGATAAAAACATCAGCTAAGCAATGGGGGAGAGGGCAGAGTGCAAGTAGGCGCTGAGGGAAACAGCTTCCCCTTTAATGCACGTTACTATAATCTTGTAATTATTCTCTTGGGAGACAACGCTGCCATGTCCAGGAGCAGTTCCAAGTCAAGCGGCACGTTGGTCCCTCCACATGTGCGCGCGCATCATTCGGGGAGGATGCTGCTACGCGCAAAGCAGGGAAGCAGAAAGGATTGGATTTGACACGGAGCTGCTCTGCGGAGCCTCGGAGTCCTCCCAGCTCGCAGGATTGCTGCCGCTGTCAATATGGCAGTGCCCAAATTGCAGCTCGGGCGGCCGGGAAGCCAAGACTGATCCGCCCTGATGGAGCTCCACAAAACCTCCCTACTGCAGATGCTCTGTCCCTCATACGCCTTGAGATCTGACACTGGGCTCGGGCCAGGGAGGGAGCTTGCTGGAAGACAGGGCTAATTCTGCAGCCAGAATTTTGCTCGCTGAGCACTCTGTGAACTCATTGTTTCCCGAATGCTAGAAATCGCCCCCGAGATCTCAGGGTTGCAGTAACAAATCCATTTATGAGGGATAAAGTCTGCACTTGTTTGTGCTCACCACTGCTATTTCAAAGCCTTGGACTTCCAGGACATTCAGGTCCCGCAGCAAAGATTTGCTGGGACCATTCACCACCACACAGAAACGCAATGTGGCCCTGGAAGGTCACTCCTGCTGTAGCAAAACACCTGAGCACGTGCTCAACTTCAAACACGCGGGCTGCTGAGTGGAGACTTGTATGATGAAATGCAAACACAGTTAACTGCCCGGCTCAGCTGGGACTTCTCTTTCATCTCCGGAAGCTGCTGCTCTAGTTTTTAATTAAAACATAAATGAAATGAGTTAGACAAGCTCATCCTCTTCTCCAGCAGATTCCTTGACCTCCAGGAGCGATAGCAGCTTGCTAGTCAGTGCTGCAGGAAAAGGAGCCCCCTTGGATTTTCCTTCAGCTCTTCCCCACCTGCACTCCCCTGCCATCTGCAAGCTTTCACTGCAGCCAGTGCTCGATGCAGCTCTCTCGTCTCCGACACTCTCCTCTTGCCCCAATTAATCTTATTTTTAACTAACTCAGCCTCAGCGTTCGGCCCTGGTGCTAGTCGCACTGTCACAGATAACCTCGATGCGAATGTTTAAAGGAAATGCAATCCACCACTTAAAAATGATAGTAATAGTGAAGGGGGGAAAAAAAAATCAAAACGCAGTGAAGATCTGAGCTACAGGCACCAGCATCGACTAATGTTTTCTCCCAACATCAAAGGCCCACCACTAATCCAATTGAAACAGACCCGGAGCAAGCGGGATCCACGCTGCTGGGCGCACGGATTCTAGACCCCAGGCGTCTTCGTGACCCTGCAAGGCCCTCCAAGGAAGCCAGGCCGCTCTCGCAGCCCTTACCTGTCTTGCAGCTGGCAGCAGAGCGGTGGCCACGTGGCTTTTGGCGCTGGACGGACCCTGCGCGACACCGGCTGCGCCCTCCTGGTGCATCGGCGAGCGCTAAGGAGCAGCACAGACGCAGTAAACCCTAGAGGAACGGCACGACGTGCCCCTGTCCTGGCTCCCCGAGCCCTGCAGCTTGTGGAAAGACCAGGAGCTGCAGGAAGGGGGGCTGTGGACACGCGGGCTCCTGCGGGCACCGCGCAGAGCGGGCAGGGGCTCGCGGAGGGTGGCGCTGACCGGCTCTTGTTACTCATTAGTGCCCTGGGCTGCCCGCGGGGGCCCCGCCAGCACCCGCTGCTGTCCAAGGGACACGGCGGAAAAAGGAGACAGGGACCATCGGAGCAAGGAGAACTACCGGCTCGGCTTTTACCGCCTTTGTTTGCTTTTACCTGAGAGAGAGGGGCCATCCTAGAGAGGAGGAAAGGATTACAGTGACCGCCAGGAGTCCAGCTTTTCCTTGATGACTCATTTATTCTGAGCATAAAATAATCCCCAGGCCCCAGTGCTCCCCAGCTGTTCCAAGAGCTGGAACAGGGTTGGCCAGACCCAGGGCTGAACGCAGCAGCGCATCAAGACAGCCAGAAAACACCAGCATCTTTTGACCTGCAGCCTCCCCTCGCGCTCCCATCACCTGGGTCCTGCCCTGTGGGGTCCAAGGCACAGCAGGGCCGTCGGAGGGGGTGGAAAGGCACCTCCCAGCTGGACGTGGCACTGAAAGCTACAGGCAGAGTGCTGGCAGCCACCGACACGCTCTCTGGGTCACCTGCTCTAATGACGGACACAAAGCGTAGGGATCCAGAGACCTGGCCTAATCCTCCCAATTTCCCACCCACAGTTTCTAGAGAGCATTTCTCTAAAGCATAACACACTTAGAAATGCAGGCCCCTTCGAAGGGAACTGCGTATTTTGCACCTAATGCCTTCAGCAGCATTTTGAAAAACCCTGCAGTGTCTCCTCTTCTGCCCCACTGCCTTACTGCTCAGAGGGACGGGCTCTCACTGGCAGGAAGGATGACAGCAAACGATATCAGATGCTCCAGGTATCTGACAAAAGCCCCGGTCACCCATTCAGCACAGTTCCCTGCTCTAAGGGTTTCTCCAGGGGTTTCAGAGACACGTGGAGATCTGGCCACATGGCTGCTGTTAATAAAAATAGGCGAGACGCCTTGGATTACGAGCATGGGAAGCCTCTGAGTCGATACCCTCCACGGCAGCTCACCTGAGAGGACACCACGTTGCCACCCCTGCCTTTCCCAGTGAATCCATGTGCACATTCAATAACACACCTGCAGGACTCCCCTGGGATCACACACACACCGTGTTTCAGTCGCTGCGGACCAACTGTCCTGGAAAAAGAGTCGGAAAGGTCTCACATCAGAACCAAGGGCACGGAAGGGCTCTCTGGCTGTGGTAGCAGATCCACTGACCCACGGGATGATAAATTAAGGAGCTGCTGCAAGGACCACAGCCAGGTTTCTGTATTCCCTCTGCAACAGGAAAGGAAGAAGCTGAGATCTGACACTGTCAATCTCCTGTATTAGAGTTGGCTGCTGAAGGAGGCAGCAATATGTGCAGGAATTGGCTTCGTGGCCCTGTACCTCTGTATTACTTATTTCAGTAAGTGCTAAGTTTACTGGCTGTAAGTCAGCCTCCTTACACCCCAGGAGCGGGTGATTTCCAAATGACACCCTCTTTATGGGGCTGCTTTGTCCTCCAAACACTGCAGCAGCTCCGTCTCCCAGTGCATTTTGAACGAGGGAAAAAACATCTTTTGGGAAAAAAAATACCCAGATTTGTGTCTTCTGGGGAGTGAGAGACCATCTGCTCTATGCCTGAAAGCATGCAGCCACCTCTCCAATCCCCAGAGCATAGAGGAAAGCTCTCCTGCTCCTCGGAAAGTGTAACCATGCAGCCTGCCAGGGAAAAGCAGGATCTCCTGCATCCTCACATCCACACTGCTGGGCTCCGGCTTCCCCGGCGGGACAGGACGAGGCACGGCCAGGATTTCACGGGGACACACGCAGAGGGGCCCCGCTGGCACTGCCGCCCCACGCTGCTGCTTGCGGGGATGGCTTTTCCCTGCCGAGCCAGGATTCCAGCTGCGCGTGAAGAATCAGGCGGCTTGTTTGGTGTGCGCATGAAAGCCTAAACTTAGCAAGCGAGATGTTAATTCACAGGAAAAATAGGCCATATTTATGTAACCGTGAAGAGCTGCAGCGAAGGAGGAACACACGTTCAGGGCCAAACGTTGCTATTCGCTCGCTTTGTTGGGAGCTCCAGGAACTCCAGATCCACAGCCCTGCGCCCCGCAGAAGCGGCTCGGGGGGCTCTGGGCTAGGAATAGAGGCCTCGTTGTGCGGCTCTGTCCGCGGCCGCCGTTCCGGGCGGGATGAGGGACAGCGGCGCGAGGACGCTCGGCTGGCCG